TACGAGATGAGAAGAAGTTTACCGATGTTATATTTCCGCCTACTCTGTATTGCAGAAGCTCTTGTTGTATACAGAGAGAAGCCAGAGTCATGTATACAGAACAAACTTGTTCGAAATTTTCGCTACCGTGGACCTAGTTAATAGCTATAAGCGTCATCTCTCTCTCTCTCCCTCTCGTTATTTATCTATTATTATTCTCGAGTTTGTCATATGTCTCTGTGATGCATGTAGGGAAAAGGTATAAGATTACAGTTGTACAACTGAACTGAATGAAGTCGCTGAAAAAGATATCTTTGCTGAACTACTCGTTCTCACATAACTTTTAGGTTGGATGAAAGAAGGCAGATGTAGAATAGTGACATTATGTAGCCAAGGGGAGAAAGAATGAAGTTAGGTGGGATAGCATCTGGAAAGAAAGCTATGACGAAAGCAAGACTTCTAAGAAATATCCTGATATCATTCTTGCTCCTGCTATGTCACTGAATTTCTAGGAATACTTAAATCATTAGAGATCTTCTGTGCTAATGATGTTAGTTTTTAAAGTCATACCTAGAAACTGAAAAAAGTGTGCACTGAAGTATTATTAAGATGCACTGGATGAATTACCAAAACATTTGCACCCAGCGATCAACTTGAGTAAGACGGAAGTCAAGTACATCCCTCACGACAATCAATATCAGTAATCCATCGATAGAATCCATCTTTCTTGAATGCTCAGGTAAGAGGTTCAACAAACTTACGGAAGAAAACATGCAGTTAACAATAAAAACCCATCTTTTTAAGGTTTTAGACATAAAAACTTCGACAGTATCCGTAAATTACAACAAGAAAACGTCTGTGCATCGCAGTATTACTTCAGAGAAAAAAACAGGTTCACACCTTTAAAAGTATCCAGAGTGGGTTCTGTTTTGATGACTGGGCTGTCCAATCTCGCTTATGACCATTGTTTATGGGAGTCAGATCTCTTTAAACTATCTTTTCTCGGGAAAATTGTGATCCACTACCAGCATTCCCTAGTAATGAGTTTAGTGTTAATATGATTCATTTCTCTCCTGAGCGCTGATAATATCCTAGACCTCATCAGTCAGATTTACAAGGCACGGTTGGATCAAATTAACCTCAAAGCAGGCTACTCACTCTAAGTGATCAGTAACTGGAGAGTCTTACAGGAGTAAATTTTACAGCTCCCTCAGTAAACACCAACAAACGTGAAGTGGATTTTCATGGACATATTTAATGCAAATAAGTTAGATTATCATACTTTCAACTAAATACTCGAACAATTCTTATCAGTTCGAACAGTCTGATCACACATTTACTTGTTAAGGCATTATATATGAAGACTGGAAGTGGGGGAAGGACAAATATGACATAAAGGAATTCAATAATAAGAAAGATAATGAGAGGAAAAAAGACGAGATTTGAAGACAATCTTGGGCGTATACTCAAGTTTGTTGAGGCGCTAGCCATAAATAAATTTAACCCCCTATTGTGTGTGCAAAAACAGTTTGTCCTTACATTAAGCCTACCTTGGTAATGCTTATTTTATCGTATTACCAAGATTGTCTTCAAATCTTATCTTTTTTTCAGCTCATTATCCTTCTTATTATTGAATTCTTTTATGGCATATTTGTCCTTCCCCCACTTCCAGTTTTCATACATAATTCTTATCACTATTCGTCGCATAAGCAAAAAAGTCTCCATCCTTCCTTTTTACAACTGGAATATGATGTAGGGATTTTAAGAAAAATGTTTTTTCTTTTTGAGATTGTCACTACTAAGGTGGCATACAAACAGATGAAAAATGCGACGGTAAACGAAAAGACAGGAATATCCCTTAGTTTATTGTAGCCCAGGGGAGGAAATGTTCTTTTTGAATGCAAACTTGGGGTTTGATCAATCTTATTGTTACAGCTTTAGTTATGCTGAGTATGCACTGGCAAACTTTAAGTAGTAAAGCTTTTGGGACACGGTCTAACACAGTAATAACTATACGGGCATCTATTTGATGCCCCATGTCCAACAAGTGGCCTAAGATAGAACCATTTATTACTTTCATTTCACCTTTATCAAACCAAGTTGCAAAATGTTCGCGTATATGGAGATGCGCCTGTGTAATTTGTTCTACAGGTACAATTAAAGTGAAAAATACAGGATGAAGGGCTGAGATTAAGTAGGGTATCATTTGTTCGCATACTAAACATTGAATAACTACTGAAAGATATGAAAAGACAACACGAGTCAAAAGTTTGATTTCCTGCTGTAGCTACGCGCTGTGATACAATATCACTTAGACGCAAAACAGAATCTTTTTCTACATTGGAATTAATGTAAGCAATGTTTGCTTTGATGGACTCTTTACGATGTCCATTTTCACTCGAAATATCACGAAAACAGCAGTTCTTTCTTTAGATACTGTGATAGAGTAAGTCGACATTAATCTAACTGCCAAGCATCTGATTAAATTACTATTGTACTTCATTAATGCAAAGCTAAGAAAGTATATACAGAGTGCCTTAGTCATCGGTTTTTGGCATATGATTCTTCTGATTGTATCATTTTTTCTTGTCATCATCAGGCCAAGAAAATGGATTGAATCATTAATTTAACTTTTATAACTAAAATGAACTGTTAGATGAATGTTGTTCAAGTGATCTAAACTAGAATCAATGCATAGACACTTACCAACGATTAGAAAAATGTCGTTATCCATATTTCAGTAACAAAATCATTACTAACAATTTCTTCTTTCAAAAGGTAGTTTTCTGAACTGTTTAGAAATGGTTGAAGACATAGGGCATGATGGAGATTCCATACCCATTCTATTAAACTTCCTTGTGTGAATCATTATTGAACATGAAAGTGGAAATTCACTGTACATTTAAGCAATAATTCATTCAAATTTGTAATCGGAATCTTAATATCATTGTCTACCTAATAATTATTCGCAAATGTAGTCTATGTTTTCAGTTAAAACAATGTTACTAAACAAATATATAATATCAAGGTATGCCAAGCATTTGCACAAGACATTTAAGCTTTTTACCTCATTGACAAACTGAAAAGTGTCTTTCATGCTATATTTAGCTAGCTCACCAAACAAAGGTTGAAGTAATCGTATCAATCAGTTCGCAATCGCATACATAACTCACCTTATAAGCGGAGATTTATATTTTTCACCCGCAAACTGCGATTCCATAATTAAATCTCTTTTCTCTCCTTATGAGTCTCAAATGCTAAGAAATATTTTGCTAATTCATGCATTCTTATTTCAACAAGTTTTGATACTCGTACTTTTAACATGGGTTAGAAGTTGGATTTCTTTATCCAAGCTCTGTAGTATCCAGACTGCAACTCCAAAGCCGATAGTTTTAGTTTTGCTTGCGAAATTTCTACAAATCTCATGATTCAAAGAAATTCTACTTTTGAAAATCGTGTTCAGCATGCATAATATCTAAGAGCCTGAATGAGAAACACTGAAACCTATTTCGTACTTCGAGAGTTAAATTTATTCCGTTTAGTAATATTTGCTTCATGTCAGGAAAAACTTCTATAAAGATCATTATTTCGTCAGTTTCGGAACTCTAGCCACCCCTTGTGATTTAACTTTTTCATGCAATGGTTAAACTCAAGCAGTATAACAAGAATGTAATTGCAGATTGGAACTTGTTATTTCCCGATTTCGATTGGGCTGAACAAAACTGATCGGTCTCTGTTGGTATATGACCTCCGATGGATTCATTTTGACATGACATCCGCACAGAAGCCCATATCCTAACAAAGGTCAATCAGTTGGATCTAAACCAATCGACAGCAGGTAAAATTAGGTTCCAGTATCAAAGTATATCCGTTCCGCTTGAGGTGACTTTAGAGTTTGAGGCAATGGGTGCTAGGTTCAACTTCTAGTGGGAACACTGTCACTTACTGGGAAGTAGGCACATCCAGCTGATGAATCCTAAATAGGACGAAGCACCTGTCCTCAATTCCACTAATAACTACCATCCATTCTAACATCATAGTGTAGTTTCTTTGAAAAAATGCATCACGCAATGAAGTAGTGTGCGCTATTTATTCAGTTAATATTGCCTGATAGTGTGATACTACTGAGTAAACTGAAATTACACTTAGTTACAGTGCCCCACTTCCACTCTAAAATTCATACTCTTCCTGTTTGAATACATGCTAACAACAAAAACACATGGTTTTTATAAACAGTAACAAAATTCACATGTCCAGTAAATAACGCTGTTTGATCATGTGGTAAATCTGATATAGGTTAAATAATTCTGTATGCAGATATTTTAGTGTTGTCTCAGTATACATTCATGAACAAAACGAAAAGAATCCGACTTTTCCTTTTACTATTCATAAAATCCAATCTTCAAGGTGGTCGCTTCATTTTTAAATGAGTTCTCTCTGAAATTTATTATGTACCGATGTGATAGTTCAATTAAATAGTGATTCAATCTACAATGTGTACTGTCTTCTATGTTTAACACTTAGACAGAATGTAAAGACTTCATTCAACACTGGAGAGTAAAAAAGACGGCTTATTGACTAAACTCCATTTTATATGACAACAGCTATGATTTAAAGGTTTCGGTTTTCAGGAGTACTAGTAATAAGCTGGATTAAAGTATGTAAGCACTGAAGTCAGTATACTATCTCAATATCGTTCATTGATTTTGTGAAAAAGTATCAAGCAGTTTTAGAAATTTTCGTTGATCATCTATAACCACTTAAGACCAACTTATATTTCCTTTGCAATGGTAATGGTGGTTTTCTGTCGACAGAGTTTAACTTTAAGCTTTGATCCATATCATAATTTATTTGTTCCAACAGTTTTCACAACAGCTCACAATATTCAAATTCACCTGTCACGCTATAACTTCTCTCGAAGAATGTTTTGACAACTTTCTTATCTGAATTGCTGAGTTATACTCCTAAAGAATACCTAATAAACTGATAGTTCTAAAGAAATATATTTCAAAGACATCATCCAATATATTAACTTCCTAAATAATTTATAAAAGTAGTTTGATAGTTCCTAAGTGCAATGATTCAATTATGCCCGTGAATTTCCTGGGTATATAAGTTGATAATTATCACTTCTGTGTATCAAGAATGCTCTTGTTTCATTCCAACGTTCAACATCTGCAATAAAGACTGGAAGTAAATTTAACCCCATTTTTGTTGATTTGTTTGGCTTATGTTTAGGATTTGGACGCCTTGATGACCTACCTATGTGTAGTCGATGGAATTGTAACGACTGTAAAGAAAACATTTTAAGGTCATGCAATAAGAAGCTAAAACATCTAGTCATTGTCAAAGTAGTTCGCATTACATTATCAATATTTTATTCATTACACTAAGCATCATCGTTACTAAGAACTCAAGACTCTTTAGCGTTTCTACATGAGAAAAATTCCCAGATTTCGAGATCATTTGACAAATGAAAGCCAATTATGGATAGGAAAAATACCTATAGTTAAGGTCCTTCGTTGCAATTTAGCCAGAAAAAAGCATCTGCTTAGGAAGTAATTTGATAGAACGAAACATTTACTCAAACAGTTCTATTAACCGCCTACATTTCCACCACTTATTGGGTATCCTGCCTTAATCTACATCATGTTCGTTTGTAGCTACAAATCAAAATCATAGACTATTCCATCAAGAAAGTAGAGTTTAAAAACAAGAAATGCTTAGGCATAATGAGATGGATGAATATATTATTTATAATTTGTATTAAATATTTATAGACTTCAAACATAGTAATACTTTATGCAAAACTAATACATCTGTCTGTAAAAAAGTGATTATGCACTATTCCTGACATAGAAAAAGATAGTTTTCAACAGTAGAACTCTACGGAAATCGTTTTAGGTCAACCAAAATCCTAACAACATAACTTCATTAAGTGCTTTAAATCTATCTTCAGGAAGAAAACGTGCTCATCCAAATAAAAAAATCCGATTAAATTTATTGGGGACGCAGCATACTATGAGAATACTAACATTATCCCATAGACCTTCCATCTTGGTGAATAAAACATTATATCATAAAAGAATTCAGTTAAGTAATATATCTTACTCATCAAAAATGTAATAACGCCGAAAATGATTACCTAACTACATTTCTAGAAAACATAGTATTAAATAAATATCTAACTCCGCAAAAGATAATGGCCCTGCGCACACACTCCCGTGAGAAACAAAATTCATAATAAAGCCTTCAGAAAAATTAGGTATCATATGTAAAAGTTAATTCGAGAAAAAACATACTATTAAAAAAAGTCACTGTCATCATATAAATATCAAATATTACAGAAAACAACAATAATTTCCCTGCGAATAAAACATCACAGATTTCAAACATCATAAACAAAACTACCAAAAACGCCAGTCTAAACAGATATTTATCCAAATCCACCTCCATCCAACTGGTCTCCTAATTCCCTGTCCGACCACTCACCACCGTGCGTCGTTGTGACTGTTGTTGTCAACACCTCGGATTCTGTAACTGTCGTTGTCGGCTGTATAGTTGTTCCACTTACTGGAGATTCAGTCGTTGTAGAGTTCTCATCAGTATCCGATGAACTAGTTGGTAACCCATCCAGTGCCCTCCTTCTCCTTCCTTCTCGTGTCTCGTTGCTAGCAGTGGTTTCACTAGTTAACACTACAGGATGAGGCTCAGTCACGCTAGTTGTTGGCACTCCGGAACGATGGTCTTCTGAAGTTGTGTTTGCATTTGATTCACCTTGTCTTTCCACCAACTCCTCTCCTGACTCCTTTTCCAACCTCTCACCACCGTGCATCGTTGTGACTGTTGTTGTCAACACCTCGGATTCTGTAACTGTCGTTGTCGGCTGTATAGTTGTTCCACTTACTGGAGATTCAGTCGTTGTAGAGTTCTCATCAGTATCCGATGAACTAGTTGGTAACCCATCCAGTGCCCTCCTTCTCCTTCCTTCTCGTGTCTCGTTGCTAGCAGTGGTTTCACTAGTTAACACTACAGGATGAGGCTCAGTCACGCTAGTTGTTGGCACTCCGGAACGATGGTCTTCTGAAGTTGTGTTTGCATTTGATTCACCTTGTCTTTCCACCAACTCCTCTCCTGACTCCTTTTCCAACCTCTCACCACCGTGCATCGTTGTGACTGTTGTTGTCAACACCTCGGATTCTGTAACTGTCGTTGTCGGCTGTATAGTTGTTCCACTTACTGGAGATTCAGTCGTTGTAGAGTTCTCATCAGTATCCGATGAACTAGTTGGTAACCCATCCAGTGCCCTCCTTCTCCTTCCTTCTCGTGTCTCGTTGCTAGCAGTGGTTTCACTAGTTAACACTACAGGATGAGGCTCAGTCACGCTAGTTGTTGGCACTCCGGAACGATGGTCTTCTGAAGTTGTGTTTGCATTTGATTCACCTTGTCTTTCCACCAACTCCTCTCCTGACTCCTTTTCCAACCTCTCACCACCGTGCATCGTTGTGACTGTTGTTGTCAACACCTCGGATTCTGTAACTGTCGTTGTCGGCTGTATAGTTGTTCCACTTACTGGAGATTCAGTCGTTGTAGAGTTCTCATCAGTATCCGATGAACTAGTTGGTAACCCATCCAGTGCCCTCCTTCTCCTTCCTTCTCGTGTCTCGTTGCTAGCAGTGGTTTCACTAGTTAACACTACAGGATGAGGCTCAGTCACGCTAGTTGTTGGCACTCCGGAACGATGGTCTTCTGAAGTTGTGTTTGCATTTGATTCACCTTGTCTTTCCACCAACTCCTCTCCTGACTCCTTTTCCAACCTCTCACCACCGTGCATCGTTGTGACTGTTGTTGTCAACACCTCGGATTCTGTAACTGTCGTTGTCGGCTGTATAGTTGTTCCACTTACTGGAGATTCAGTCGTTGTAGAGTTCTCATCAGTATCCGATGAACTAGTTGGTAACCCATCCAGTGCCCTCCTTCTCCTTCCTTCTCGTGTCTCGTTGCTAGCAGTGGTTTCACTAGTTAACACTACAGGATGAGGCTCAGTCACGCTAGTTGTTGGCACTCCGGAACGATGGTCTTCTGAAGTTGTGTTTGCATTTGATTCACCTTGTCTTTCCACCAACTCCTCTCCTGACTCCTTTTCCAACCTCTCACCACCGTGCATCGTTGTGACTGTTGTTGTCAACACCTCGGATTCTGTAACTGTCGTTGTCGGCTGTATAGTTGTTCCACTTACTGGAGATTCAGTCGTTGGGGATTTCACTTTAGTTTGTGGGATTGTCTTTTCTCTTGCTGTACTTCCTACGTTTCTGGGGCTGTGTTGATCATTTGAAGTTTTTTTCTTTGGCCTTGTCGGTTTATTTGTATTGGGTCTATACAGTTTTCTTTTCATAAGTGCAGATGGGATTCGGATGCCTCGATAGCCAAGATGATCAAACTGCTCTTGCAAATCTGTCATTTGGAGATCATCATCTTCGTCGCGCATTTTTGATTCTTTTCGACTAGAGAAGTCTTCTTCATCTGTATCATCATCATCATCGTCGTCGTCATCATCATCATCATCTTCTTCATCACTGGCAGCTATCGGAAGCTGGGGAATAGGAGACGTGTCTTGTGTATCATTAGTTTCAGCTTTGTGTTCTATGCTTTGATTTTGTTTAACAATTGACGTGCTTTCTAGTTGAGAATCATTTATTTTGCTTCGGGTGTTATTATTATCACCAATATTGCCAGTTATTGGAGTAGCCGCAGTAACAATGTTCATCAGTGACATGTTTAGATTTTTAGATTGAGTGTTGTCGCCTATTTGCTCAATTTGGAGATTTTCATTTTCAGCAGTAGTGTTTTCAATTGGATTTAGTGGTGGAGATTGGTTCGCACTAGTTTTGTTTATCTCATCAGAATGGTTCCGTAGTTGTTTTGTAGCAATAGTTGTGGTTTGATATGCTGGAGTAGATGTGTTTGCCTCGGTATTTTCTTCCAGTAAACCTGACAACGACGAATTCATCTGATAATTTATGGGACTATTATTCTTCACCGAACTGTTTGTCATTACAGGAGAATGTTCTGTTTTCTGATCAGATGAATTAGAAGTGTTATTGTGAGTGGAAAATAGTGGTGCAGAATTTGTTTTCGCTAATTCTGTGACTATTGTTGATGAATTGTCATTCATCGGTCTCATAGGAATGTTTCTGGCTGTAATTAAACATGCATAAGGTAAACGATGTTGACAGTCTCGGGCCTGCCAAGTAAGTCTAGCAATATCCAACGATAAACAGTACACTACATCTTCAGCAAGACTTTCCGCATCCCCTTCGGTTATACCTAACATACTTGCTGGACTTGTCCGGCCATCTGACCAAGTTAGGATGACTTTCCATCTAGGATTGTTTTCACTGTGCAGCAGATCAGGTTTACGTCTCACCAATTTACCACCTGTCCAATATGACACTGGTGGCACAACACCGATAAGATTGATTAGGCGTACAACCTACAAAGTAAGACATTTTCAAATGATCAGAAATTGTTTTCAAAACAGATTAGTATGTTTAAAAATATACACTTTTAATAATAAATATTGTCTCTCTCATGATTCATGAGATTGGTTGGCGAAGGTGGTGGGAGATACAGAAGGAATGTTTTCAGATTATCACTGAATCATCCAACTACATTTAATAAGTCACGTCTAGTGGAAGCGATTCTCTTTTAAGGACAACAAAGCGGTTGGAAGTTCTTTGAAGTGAATTACATTACATACAACCAGTAGTCTTAACGGCCGCCATAGAAACTACTAAGATAAGCATCTACTTTTACCGATTCAGTTTGGAAACCTAAATAATTATTTCAATGATTACTTGGGTCACTTTTAAAATCATTCATATACAAATGTTAGGATCTGAAGAGAAATAATCTAAAATTCATTTTCATCGTATGTTCATACCACTCGATAACCAGTCGGTAGTGGAAATTCTTCTAGTCCTATTCTGTTACTCTTGAGAAGTATTTGCTGATGAGTAATGTTCCAAGTAGCCTCGGTACTTACAAAATTAATCCTAGATACACAGGCCTTTGCACCTGTGGCATCAAAATTCGCAGCGCAATTAATTCAGACAAAGAGTAACTTCTCTATTAGTACCATAGCTAATATTGAAATGGGATATCCTCAACTGTTAGAAGACTTGTTGCTGGAAGGTTTGGCATAGACTTCAATTGTTATGAGTATCTTCCACACAGTGTACTAATAAGAACCTAATTAATCTGATGGAACGATTATTCAGTAATCTTTGAATAAATGATGAAAACTAAGGATGGAAGGAAGTGGGAACCACATATAATTTTTATTAAAATTTAGTGATTCAGTTTTACAGATAATCCAGTGCGTAATTTGAGTCTAAAATAAGTTAGTGAAATTTTTTTCACAACTAATCCGTTAATAGGTAAGATCCGTAAAGAAAAATCTACATACTATTCTCCTTTAATGTCTATTATCATGTATTCCTATTTGTCCCTGGGGTGCCTAGTGGAACACAGGGCTTCAGTGGCACGTCTCCAGTGCACTCTCTCCCCTGCAAACTTTTGAACCTAGCTCCACTACTGCCCACAAGCTCTCATTTATTCCATGTCACCCTCACCTCGAACGCCCAACTCGTCGCTTCCCATCTGGGTTCCACTCTACCACCTGGCCTGACGCGTGATGTCCCCAGTCGACCTTCTCCTCAATGCATCACCAATCCATCTCCACTTCCTCCTGCATATTTGTTGACCGATAGGTTCTTGCTTCATTGGTTCGTCACCAGCCAGAGTTCACTGTTGCTTATTCTTTCTGGCAATCCATCTGATCTTCAGTAACGAGTGAACGTATGTGGCAGTTGTTGATGAATGTCTGTAGTTTGTTGGAATGCCTTTCGTAATGCGCCAAGTCTCTGAATCATCTACAAGTACTGACTTGACATTGGTGTTGAAAATCTGGATCTTGTTCTTTATGTTGAGTGCAGAAGATCTCCACACTGGTTCAGGTTGATGAAAACCTGTCTTGCTGTCTTTCCGATCCTGGCTTTGATGTCCTCGCCTGTGCTGCCTTGACTTGGTAGGTAGGTGAAAGAGACTACCTCCTTTAAGTTTCTCCCGCTGGTGGTGATTCGAGCTTGTTGTTGTTGTTGTTGTTGTTGGTGGTGGTGTTTGGGTATCTTCATCACCTATGTCTTGTCCACGTTCACTGGAAGTCCCGTTTTCGCTGCCCCACCTCTTCTGTCAACTTGTTAGTTTTCGCCTGTAGATTTCCGAGTTTGTGCGACATCACACACAAATCGTTATCGGCGAAATCCAAATCTTCTAGGATCTCTTCCCTGGTCCAGTGTATCCCTCTCCTCTCACTCCTCACTGATTGCTGCATGATCCAGTCGACCACAATCAGGAATATCATGGGTGATAGTAGGCAGCCTTGTTTCACTCCTGTCTTCACTTCAAACGCGTCACTGACCTATCCACTGTGAATCATCTGGCATGTGGCGTCTTCATATATCTGTTGAATGAGGTTGATATAGGTTTATCGCACTAAAACCGTAGAGTCGGAACAGTTGCCAAATTACTTCTCGGTCGACGCTGTCGAATGCCTTTTAAAAGTCGATGAAGTTGAGGTGAGGTAGAGGTTTGACTGCCATTCTATACTCTGTTCCATCATGATGCGTATCGTTGTAATTTGGTTAGCACATAATTTGTGCTTCCTGAAGACAGTCTGTTCGGGTGGTAGTTTTGAATGCAGAGCATTCTCAGTCTCTCCAGGATGATGCGGCTTAATATTTCCATTGGTGTAGACAGGAACATGATTCTGCACCAGCTCTTGCAGACACTTAGGTCACCCTTCTCCATGAGTTTGACAAGGTAGCCTCTCTTCCAATCAATAGGCACATACCTTCTCTTCCTTCCACACCTTCTACAGTAGTGGTGTGAGCATGTCCACTGTTGTCTCTGTGTCTGTTCTCAGTGCTCCTGGTGAAATTCCATCTGGTCCTGCTGCCTTCCCGAATTTCAGTAGCCTCATGGCATCCAGCACTTCTACTTTCGTCGTACGATTTGTGTTCACTGGTATTTCTGTGGCTGCAGGTGGTGGTCGATTTTAAGAGCATTCTGAATTGGTCAGCCTATCGTTTCCCTTGTTTCTCTTCTTTAGTAATTGGATTTCCCTCATCATCTTTTACTGGTTTCATCTGTGTTGATCTCTTCCCTCCCAGACAGTAACCTAGTTATTTGATACAATGCTGTCAGGTCTCTCCTACCGACAGCCTGTTCTGCTTCACTTGCCAATGTGTCTGTCCTACAAGTGTCTTTTGTCTTTGCGCTCACTCTTCTTCACTTCTTTGTCCAGTGTAGTGTTTTATACGTTGTACTCAGTTCCTCTTCTCTTTGAGCACCCTTGCACTGCTTCATCTTCTGATTCACCATCCTACTCTCCTCTCCTCTATCAGCTCCCATGTGTCCGTCGAGATCCATTCCTTGTCTTGTTCTACTTCTTCTTCCTTCCTAATACACTTATGCAGGATTCTTTCCACATAGCTTTCAAAGAGTACCAGTGTTTTTACACACACGTCCCTTCAGGGTTGTTGCTCAATGTCTCCCATTTTGACTCGATGTCTCACGTGAAGATTTCCTTTGTAGTTTCGTCCTTTAGTTCAGTTTCTGTTCTGGGTGTGGTCGATCATCACCAACTTCCTTGAAGGCTTTCAACTTGATTTGGAAGGCAGGTTCATTGCACTAGATAGTGAGTGATGGATGTGAACCTACATCCACTCCTCTTCTTCATCTTGTGTCAAGTAGGCTGACTCTCCCTCTCCACCTTCTTCACATTGAGATGGAGTCGATCTGATTTTTAGTGTAGTGTGTCCATGTGGTGATATCAAATCCATGTCGCTTTGTGGATATCCTTGTGCTTGAACACGGTGCTTCCAATCACCAAATCGTTGAATGCACAGAATTCTAAAAACAATTCTCCATTCTCATTCATTTCATCAAGCACTTCTCGACCCATGGTTAGTTCTCTTCCTGTGTTGTCCACTCCCAGTTTACCATTCATCTCACCCACCCATTAGAATGAATTTGATGTTGCCAACTGGAGTCTTGTCCAGTGATGATTACAGTTGTCTGTCGAATTCCTCCTTCTTCTCTTCATCTGCATTATTTGTAGGTGTGTAGCGTAGCATTGAATGATTGTGAGCTTCCTTCCTTTAGAGTTGAACCTCGCTGTCATGATGCAGATCCTGCAGGAGGAGATTGGTTCCCACTGCATGAGAGAGAGAGAGTCTTCGATGCTGTTGGTGACCTCATCCTCATGAGGGCCACTGGAAAACTCAGTGTGCTGTGTTCGTGGTTGTCGTCTGGGTGACAAAATCGGAGTAGATTATTGACTCCTCTCCAGTCGACAGTTTGGAGAGTCCACCCCCATTCCACCTGCTTTCGCAGATTCCTAGCACTTCATTATTATACCTTCTCATCTCCTGTGCAATCTGGACAACCTTGCCAGCTAGGTTCAAACATAGTGTGGACATTCCATGTCCGCATTCTTACTTTTATTTTCATGAAGCGAAGACACATCGGCCAATTGGCTTCTTGAAGGTTTTCACCAACTGGTGTCATTTCATCTCTACGATTCCAGTGAGGAATAATTTTGTTTTTATTTTCGTTTGTGCTTTGAAGTTTCTGTAGTTGTTGGATTGGTTTTCCGGGGTGGGGTTGTTAGCCGTATGCTCCCCATTCTGTGTTTACCCGGGCTTAGGACCGGCTAGTAACTAGTGAACTAGTTAACCAGGCGAGGTTCCTTTAATGTCTAACTTTATTCGTATTTTATTTGACTATAGCATGAGTGGTAATTTTGTCCACAATATGTTCACAACTGATTTTTAAGGTTAGAAAACTGTGACGTAACTACTACTTGTTAAAAAGCGTTTTGTTTGCATTGTAACGCCGACAAATACACTTGGATATTTTATTACATAAGGATTTGAAACCTATATAAGGAGTTAAGATCGTCTAAAAAGCTGATCGGTTACTCAAGGATAAATAACGTCATCCATTCCATTAACTTGACCAGCAAATTCAGATAAGATAGACCGACTTTAATTTTTGGTGAGTGTTCTTAAAAGATTTACAGATAGACTCCATTCAACATAGTTGGTCTTATTATCATTAGTGTTTCATTTTTCTGTCTCCCTATTATTCTTAGAACTTCACTAACTCACAAAACCTTTCACTTTTTTCGTCAAATGTTGTCCAGTCAAACGTGTAGTCAGTTATTATACTTTACTTTGTAGTTTTTATTAACTTTGTTTAACTCTGTATGTTTAGCATATTACTTTAGCTAGTTAAAAGTTTCATACGTAATTTTGCTGTCTTAGTAACTGCACATTAAGTCTTCGTTATTAGACTGATATTCCGATGATAATAATTAATAATACCTAAGTTATCAAAAACAGGCGACGAATGTGAAAAGAACAGGGA